TGTCTGGAGGAAACCTGGCATTATCCCTACGGTGAAGCATGGTGGTGGCAGCATCATGCTGTGGGGATGTTTTTCAGCGGCAGGGACTGGGAGACTAGTCAGGATCAGTGGCCACCTGTTTTTTGCCTGTTTTGCATGTTATTTTGGCATTAATAATAATAAGTGTCACATATCAGTTTGCAAACAATGCAAAAAACAATTGAGTTAATAAAGCCGCATACAAACTTAGTCTCTTTTTTGCTTTCTTGAGTAAGGCAGCTCCAAAATGCAAGTGTTTCAGGCTAGCTCAGTGCTTTCTTTGGTGGTGGGGCAGCCAGCGGAAAATACGGAGCTTAGGGGTTGGTAATGTTCTCTAGTTGCGTCGTGATTGGCTCAGTGTTCTGTCACTCATGTGAACACTACGTCACCGCAAAATCTACAGGTAGAGCTCGAAAATTCATGCCCGTTGGGTGCTGCCATAGAGTTACATTAGAAGTGCCCATCCAAGAAGGCTCAAGGTCATTGGCCACAGATAAAATGACGTCAAATCACGTTATATCTACCTTAGCTTTGATTGGACTGATCATGTCAACATCATACATTCAAAATATTAGCTAGCAATCTAGCAGTCATCATCATTAATCAAGTAAACAATCTACTGGCAAATCCTTTTCAATCCTTATCATATGAAGTGAAATAATGAAGAGAAATGACAGATACAAAGTATCGGTGCTCATCGGCCATTGGACATAAACATTACACAACAAGTTGGTGTGATGCGTGATTTGAAGGAGTCAGGCGCAGGAGGGTAAATCCCAGTATACAGAATTTATTACGTAATCCAGCCTAACCAGTCCAGTGCGCAAAACAGGCGCACTGGAACAAACATGCACACGGGGAAAATACCCCGGCAATACAAAATACTAAGCTCAACCGAGCTACTAATCCTCACAATGAACAATCACCCACAAGGACAAGGGTGGCAGAGGGAACACTTAAACACAGACTAATGAGGGGAATATGAACCGGGTGTGTGTAATTGATAAATCAAGAAAAATTGAATGATGAGATATGGTGCGGCAGTGGCTAGAAGGCCGGTGACGACAAACGCCGAAGCCTGCCCAAACACGGAGGGGAGGCAGCTTCGGAGGAAGTCGTGACAGTTGGAAATCGCAAATTCAACAATGAGTGGTTTGGAAGGAATCAGTGGCTAACTGCAAGCATCGCAAAGCAATCACTAGCCTGCTATTCAGTGGAGTGGGTGTGTGGTCCAAGTCTGGGTTTAAGGGTCTCTTTTCCAAGCTTAAAAAGATAAACATTCAACGTTGGCCATGCTGTCAATCCAGCATGACTTCTGTCGCACTCAAAAAAACTCAGAACTGGGAAATCTCAGACTTTAGTGAGTTCAAGATAACTGGGAACTCCGACAGGGAAAAATATGTTTTGAACGGTCATCCAACTCGGGCCTCTTTCTAGAGCTCCGACCTGAAGATTACTGATGTCATCATGATTCGACCTTGTTTTTGTTAAGAGTTTCCAGTTGTCTTGAAGCACCATAAATCCAGAGAATGCCAGACTTTGATGACCAAGTTTGATGACAAAATTTGCCCACGAAGGACCACCGCACCACCTTCCTGTTCAAGTGAGCACAGCACAACAAGGTGAGTCCAAAATGTATTGTATGCTGCTGCATAAATTATGTAATATGCCAGGGAGATATGTATACAGTAGCGAAGAAAGTAATACTAAGTGTATGTTGTGTAGTAAGTTGTTAGTAGCCCATGTGCCTCACCCTAATAATTTGGTCCCTTTTCCCCTCATGTAGCCTATATCCTGTTTTAGAGAAAAGTAATCATTGAATATTGTAAGAGCTTTCATTGTCTGTTTATATGTCCCCTTCATTTATCCTACGGTTCTGACTTGGTGTACAGGGAGAACACTGTAAGAACGGCCCAGGTTCTGAATTCTGTCGCTGTACATTTTAAAAGTGCTGAACACATAGTTATATTGACTACCTCCGTCCTAGCTCGCTCATTAATGTCTTAATCGAAGTTACGGATTGCCTCTAATCCGCTCGTCGTCCCCTTATGCGATAGTTTGTACATCTCAATTGTCAGTAGAAAACACATTTTTTTTTAAGCCAGTCAGCCATATCAGCTATGTTTTTTTAAAAGGCAGAAAATGAGGCTGAATGAACTGTTTCGCTGCCAGACAAGGCTCCGCAGATAGCCAGGTGTAGCAGTGGTAAGGTGTTGGGACAGCTTTATGTAGGCCTTAACAGTTTGTGGGCACTGTTTGTCACCATTATAGTGCAATTAATGTATTGTTTAGTATTGTGTTGTGTAGTTGCTTTGTTGGCATGAATCTATAAAAAAAATTGGGGAAGTTGCCAAACCAAGATTTACTGGTCAGGATCGAGGGAAAGATGAACGGAGCAAAGTACAGAGAGATCCTTGATGAAAACCTGCTCCAGAGTGCTCAGGACCTCAGACTGGGGCAAAGGTTCACCTTCCAACAGGACAACAACCCTAAGCACACAGCCAAGACAACGCAGGAGTGGCTTCAGGACAAGTCTTTGAATGTCCTTGAATGGTCAAGCCAGAGTCCGGACTTGAACATCTCTGGAGAGACCTGAAAATAGCTGTGCAGCGATGCTCCCCATCCAACCTGACAGAGCTTGGGAAGATCTGCAGAGAAGAATGGGAAAAACTCCTCAAATACAGATGTGCCGAGTTTGTAGCGTCATACCCAAGAAGACTCGAGGCTGTAATCGCTGCCGAAAGGTGCTTCAACAAAGCACTGAATAAAGGGTCTGAATACTTATGTAAATGTGATATTTCAGTTTTTTTGTTTTTAATACATTTGCGAACATTTCTAAAAACCTGTTTTTGCTTTGTCATTATGTGGTATTGTGTGTAGATTGATGAGGGGGAAGAAAAGAAAAAACGATTTAATCAATTTTAGAATAAGGCTGTAACGTAACAAAATGTGGAAGAAGTCAAATACTTTCCGAATACACTGTACATGGCTCTTCATTCAGCACCAATCCTGTGTCTTAAAAGACAGCATTAACCACCCAAATCCCCCAAATATTGTGTATAAATATGTGTATTAATCCCAGAGCAGCGGTTCTATATAGCTACTCTCATTCCGTGGCTTTATCCTAAATGACCCCCTATTCTCTACATAGTGCACTACTTTTTTACCAGATCCCTACAGGCCCCAGGTCAAAAGTAGTGCACTATGAAGGTAACAATGTAATCCAGCTAAACCCTAGGTGGTGAGTCATGATGGTGATGATGTAACAGGGGCCAGTTTGTCAGAACCCTGTTTAATCCAGATTGAAATGATCCTCTTCCTGTATTGTGGAAAATTCTGCTCCCCCCTCCTCCCCTCCCCCCCCCCCCCCCTCCCCCCCAGCTGTGATGCCCCCTAAAGCTTGTGGATGAAAGTTTTTACAGTGACAATCACTGACCCAAATCTGTATGTTACCACATCACTATGTGCAAAACCAATAGGGGTTTGTGTGGGCTACTGCACAAATAATAAAGTCTTGTCTCTGTGGTATTCATACATTATGAAAATTAGGTATGTTTGTTACATTTGAAGGTACTTTATTCTGAAAATTAAATTAGCAGTTGCAGTCATCCCCCCTCCCCCTCCCCCTCCCCCTCCTATGAGCACAGCAGCGGCAGTGGCGTTCAGTCCTGCACGACAGGTAGTCTACCATCTTTAACTCAGTCATAGGGAGACCGGGAGAGGCGCGCCGCGTGCACTAATCGGGCCACTGAATCTGAGAGGCCAATTTCGCCCTGACCGAGCAGCGTGAGCATTTTTGAAAACGGTTTGGCGATTATTGGTATAGGCTCCATTTCGACGCACAAACTGTCAAAGCTCTGATCATGTGATTGCGAGGATGAGGGCTTGTCTTCTCGTCCGGATGTGTCAGTAGCCTACAGAGGGTACCAAAGCCAGAGCGAGGTTGGGGTTGTGATGCAGCAGTGTTTGACCGCTAGTCACGAATGTAGGGCTACACGTCTCATTGAATATATTGCCTATATTTAACCACCTCGTGTGGCAGACAGATGCAATTTTGTTATCGGTTGAGAGAGAACTGAACATCGTCAGCGCTGACACGCGCATCACGGTCCGCTTCATCTTGGTGCAGTTATTGAATCGTATCTCTCCTTTTTTCACTCCTCTCCTCCTCCTCCTCTCCCTTCTTTCGGCATCACTGACAGAGGCTGCTGATGCTGCCGTAGCAATTACCGGGACTGGGCTGTGTGTTATTTATCCCGGGCTAGATGCTGTGAATTATTCCGCAGGATTGTGATTTGGGCTACCGGATGGAAGGCATCATAGACATTGCATTTCGTTTGCTCCGGTTTGATACCGTCGCTATCGTTAACATTGCTTAGGAAAGAAAAGGACGTATAGCCTATTGCAAACACGGCTGCTCTGTACGCTATTGGTAGGCAACATTTTTTTTATATATATCTACTGAAATTATATAATGTATTTAGTTTAATGCGTAATATCCGAATGACAATCTGATATTTGCTGTGTTTTTCAAGGAGGTATTCCGGGGACATTCGCAAGTGACACGTGCCAAGAGCGATGTGTCTGACAGACTGCCATTCATAGCCTACGAGAGAGGTGGGAGGGAATTATTTCTCACATACGCGAGTTCAGGAGTCGCCAAGTTCTCACGAGTTATCAGTTAGGCTAAATATAGGAGCGAACTTGCAGATAAGCTTTTGACCATCCAGTTTATGCACCAGCATCGGGATGCGACGTCATGAGTTGAATATGCTGGCCAGATGTTGCCTTTGATGTGATTAAATGAATCTAGACTAGGCCTACTGTTGGGTGCTTTTCTACAGCAGAAATATCTACTGACTCCTGCATTTCTTAAGTATTTAATTAGTCAGTGCCCCCCGTTGCTTGTCTACCTAATTGAATAGGCATATCTAGGCCACATCATAATACCAGGACTGGGATACAACACAAACTGTGCTACAATGATACCCGGATCGGCCGCCTCGATGCTCCCATCCATGTCGTCCGATGACATTAAACTATACCAGCATAACTACGTCCGCAACTCCCGTGCCATCGGACTCCTGTGGGCCATATTCACCATCCTGTTCGCCATCTTGAACGTGGTGATCTTCAGCCAGCCCTATTGGATCGGAGACGGCGTGGACACCCCTCAGGCCGGCTATTTCGGCCTCTTCCACTTCTGCACCGGCGACGGGATCCAGAGAGAGCTCGACTGCACGGGGACCTTCACCGAGTTCGCTCAGATCCCTTCCACTGCGTTCAAGGCGGCGTCGTTCTTCGTTGGGATGTCCATGATGCTGGTGATGGCTTGCATCGCTTCCTTCACTCTCTTCTTCCTGTTCTCCACCACCACCGTCTATAAGATCTGCGGCTGGATGCAGGGGGCCTCGGGTAAGTGATGACTGCCACTAGGACCTAGGCAGCTTGTTTTGAGTAATGTCTTGGAAGTAGGCCTAAACCTTTCTCCTACAAGGTTTGTGTATAGCCTTTTAGGTTAGCTGTAGGCCTACACATTAACAGAATATGATGTGTTGCTTCTTATCTGGCCAGGTAAAGTGATCAAAAGTTAATAAATATATTGTAATATTACGTATTTTATTAGGGATCCCCATTAGTTCCTGCCAAGGCAGCAGCTACTCTTCCTGGGGTCCAAACACACTAAGACACTTATATTACACATAAAACAAAATATAAAACAGTACATCATATAACACTGTCACACCACTAGCGCCCGCGTGTGTATGCGTGTGTCTGTCCCTGTGTGTGTGTGTGTGTGTCTCTTCACAGTCCCCGCTGTTCCATAAGGTGTATTTTTATCTGTTTTTGAAATCAAATATTACTGCTTGCGTCAGTTACCTGATGTGGAATAGAGTTCCATGTAGTCATGGCTCTATGTAGTACTGTGCGTCTCCCATAGTCTGTTCTGGACTTGGGGATTGTGAAGAGACCTCTGGTGGCATGTCTTGTGGGGTATGCATGGGTGTCAGAGCTGTGTGCTAGTAGTTTAAACAGACAGCTCGGTGCATTCAGCTTGTCAACACAAAACAAGTAGTGATGAAGTCAATCTCTCCTCCACTTTGAGCCATGATAGATTGACATGCATATCTTTAATGTTAGCTCTCCGTGTACATTTAAGGGCCAGCCGTCCTGTCCCTCTTTGTGGCACCTGACCATACGACTGAACAGTAGTCCAGGTGCGACAAAACTAGGGCCTGTAGGACCTGCCTTGTTGATAGTGGTGTTAAGAAGGCAGAGCAACGCTTTATTATGGACAGACTTCTCCCCAACTTAGCTACTGTTGTATCAACATGTTTTGACCATGACAGTTTACAATCCAGGGTTACTCCAAGCAGTTTAGTCACCTCAACTTGCTCAATTTCCACATTATTCATTACAAGATGTAGTTGAGGTTTAGGGTTTAGTGAATGATTTGTCCCAAATACAATGCTTTTAGTTTTGAAATATTTAGAACTAACTTATTCCTTGCCACCCATTCTGAAACTAACTGCAGCTCTTTGTTAAGTGTTGCAGTCATTTCAGTCGCTGTAGTAGCTGACTTGTATAGTGTTGAGCCATCCGCATACATAGACACACTGGCTTTACTCAAAGCCAGTGGCATGTCATTAGTAAAGATAGAAAAAAAGTAAGGGGCCTAGACAGCTGCCCTGGGGAATTCCTGATTCTACCTGGATTATGTTGGAGAGGCTTCCATTAAAGAACACCCTCTGTGTTCTGTTAGACAGGTAACTCTTTATCCACAATATAGCAGGGGGTGTAAAGCCATGACATACGTTTTTCCAGCAGCAGACTATGGTTGATAATGTCAAAAGCTGCACTGAAGTCTAACAAAACAGATCCCACAATCTTTTTAGCATCAATTTCTCTCAACCAATCTTCAGCCATTTGTGTAAGTGCTGTGCTTGTTGAATGTCCTTCCCTATAAGCATGCTGAAAGTCTGTTGTCAATTTGTTTACTGTAAAATAGCATTGTATCTGGTCAAACACCATTTTTTCCAAAAGTTTATTAAGCGTTGGTAACAGGCTGATTGGTCGGCTATTTGAGCCAGTAAAGGTGACTTAACTATTCTTAGGAAGCGGAATGACTTTTTCTTCCCTCCAGGCCTGAGGGCACACACTTTCTAGTAGGCTTAAATTTAAGAAATGGGAAATAGGAGTGGCAATATCGTCCGCTATTACCCTCAGTAATTTTCCATCCAAGTTGTCAGACCCCGGTGGCTTGTCATTGTTGATGGACAACAATAATGTTTTCACCTCTTCCACACTCACTTTACAGAATTCAAAATTACAATGCTTGTCTTTCATAATTTGATCAGTTATACTTGGATGTGTAGTGTCAGCATTTGTTGCTGGCATGTCATGCCTAAGTTTGCTAATCTTGCCAATAAAGAAATCATTAAAGTAATTGGCAATATCAGAGGGTTTTGTGATGAATCAGACATCTGATTCAATGAATGATGGAGCTGGGTTTGCCTTTTTGCCCAAAGTTTCATTTAAGGGGCTCCAGAGCTTTTAACTATCATTCTTTATGTCATTTATCATTGTTTCATAGTATAGTTTCTTCTCCTTTTTATTCAGTTTAGTCACATTATTTCTCAATTTGCAGTACGTTTGCCAATCGGTTGTGCAGCCAGACTTATTTGCCATTCATTTTGCCTCATCCCTCTCAACCATACAATTTTTAAATTCCTCATCAATCCACAGGGATTTAACAGTTTTTACAGTCATTTTCGTAATGGGTGCATGCTTATTAGTAACTGGAATAAGCAATTTCATAAATGTGTCAAGTGCAGCGTCTGGTTGTTCCTCATTATACACCACAGACCAAAAAATAATCTTTACATTAACAACATAGGAATCACTACAAAACGTATTGTATGACCTCATTCACTACAATAGGCCCAGCCTTTGGAACTTTGGTTTTCCTAGATATGGCTACTATATTGTGATCACTACGTCTGATGGATCTGGATACTGCTTTCAAGCAAATTTCTGCAGCATTAGTAAAGATGTGATCAATACATGTGGATGATTTAATTCCTGTGCTGTTTGTAACTACCCTGGTAGATTGACTGATAACCTGAACCAGGTTGCAGGCACTGATTACAGTTTGAAGCTTTTTCTTGAGTGGGCAGCTTGATGAAAGCCAGTCAATATTTAAAATCACCCAGAAAATATACTTACTTTTTTAATATCAGTGTCTTCATGCATGGTTCAATGCAGGTGTTTAGGTTTTAATGTTTAATGTTCCGTAGACTACTGCCCCTGGAAAAAGTTTTAGGAATTAGATAGCCTCAGTGCTTGCCCACTCCTGTCATAATCGCCAATGCTGGTTAGGAGCTGTCCAGGGACCTGTCAGATGTAAGGCGGCAGACAGGTGGCGCTGAATGGACGGCCGTAACACTTGGCTCTGTCCATGGAGCTGAAATGACAGCCGTGTCACTTACCGCTGTCAATGGTGTTGAATGCCGTCGTGCAGTTTGGTGCTGTCCATGGCGCTGAACTAGATACGTTTGGGGTTGCAATTATTTTTGTCGCGTCAGTTGCCGCTGTCCATGGTGCTGAACAGACAGCGATTTAAAGTATGGTATGTTAGCTAGGAGTTGGCACTGAAGGGACAGTCGTGTCAGCTGACGCTGTCTGTGGTGCTGAATGGACTATGGGGGGTTGCACCTGTCCTGCGGTCATGTTGTTGTCACAGGTGCATAAAGCTAGTCCAGAATAAATCAAGAAGATGGCTGGATATTGCAGCATTATGAACATGCAGTAGTGGGATAGAAGAGGTATCTAAAGGCACTCTACCTCTGGATCATCTCTGTCTCTGGATCGTCTCTGTCTCTGGATCATCTCTGTCTCTGGATCATCTCTGTCTCTGGATCATCTCTGTCTCTGGATCATCTCTGTCTCTGGATCATCTCTGTCTCTGACATTTTTTTTAACAGTGCACTTTTTTCTCAGCTTTGTTCATTATGCAGCTATTTAACCAGCACAAATGACTAATTCTGATTCACTCCACAGCGTGAACACGATTACACAACCCCATGCCAGGTTTCCTTCCCTTCAATTGAACTCAATACTGGCAGGAGTCACCTGATTGTGAATAGTAAATGGTTTACAGTCATCGTTAACAGAACAGCCTTAGTACTTCCCACTGACACAACAGTATACAGTGGGGGAAAAAGTATTTAGTCAGCTACCAATTGTGCAAGTTCTCCTGCTTAAAAAGATGAGAGGCCTGTAATTTTCATCATAGGTACACGTCAACTATGACAGACAAAATGAGAAAAGAAAATCACATTGTAGGATTTTTAATGAATTTATTTGCAAATTATGGTGGAAAATAAGTATTTGGTCAATAACAAAAGTTTCTCAATACTTTGTTATATACCCTTTGTTGGCAATGACACAGGTCAAACGTTTTCTGTAAGTCTTCACAAGGTTTTCACACACTGTTGCTGGTATTTTGGCCCATTCCTCCATGCAGATCTCCTCTAGAGCAGTGATGTTTTGGGGCTGTCGCCGGGCAACACGGACTTTCAACTCCCTCCAAAGATTTTCTATGGGGTTGAGATCTGGAGACTGGCTAGGCCACTCCAGGACCTTGAAATGCTTCTTACGAAGCCACTCCTTCGTTGCCCGGGCGGTGTGTTTGGGATCATTGTCATGCTGAAAGACCCAGCCACGTTTCATCTTCAATGCCCTTGCTGATGGAAGGAGGTTTTCACTCAAAATCTCACGATACATGGCCCCATTCATTCTTTCCTTTACACGGATCAGTCGTCCTGGTCCCTTTGCAGAAAAACAGCCCCAAAGCATGATGTTTCCACCCCCATGCTTCACAGTAGGTATGGTGTTCATTGGATGCAACTCAGCATTCTTTGTCCTCCAAACACGACGAGTTGAGTTTTTACCAAAAAGTTCTATTTTGGTTTCATCTGACCATATGACATTCTCCCAATCCTCTTCTGGATCATCCAAATGCACTCTAGCAAACTTCAGACGGGCCTGGACATGTACTGGCTTAAGCAGGGGGACACGTCTGGTACTGCAGGATTTGAGTCCCTGGCGGCGTAGTGTGTTACTGATGGTAGGCTTTGTTACTTTGGTCCCACCTCTCTGCAGGTCATTCACTAGGTCCCCCCGTGTGGTTCTGGGATTTTTGCTCACCGTTCTTGTGATCATTTTGACCCCACGGGGTGAGATCTTGCGTGGAGCCCCAGATCGAGGGAGATTATCAGTGCTCTTGTATGTCTTCCATTTCCTAATAATTGCTCCCACAGTTGATTTCTTCAAACCAAGCTGCTTACCTATTGCATATTCAGTTTTCCCAGCCTGGTGCAGGTCTACAATTTTGTTTCTGGTGTCCTTTGACAGCTCTTTG